TCTCCCCCTCCCCCCCCCCCAGAAAGGAGTAGACTAGAGTTTGGAGACTTCAAGAAAAATCACATGGGCTCCTGCACAGGGTGAAGGTAGGGCTGGGGCTGGCAAGCCCCGCCCCCTTCTGTCCAAGCCCCGCCCCCAGCACCATGGGGCGGTGGAGTGGCATGTGTCCCCAGCCACGGAGGGCAGGCGCTCAGGGTAGCAACACGCTGTCCCCCAGCAGGCACCCTGGGGGCGGAGCCAGGAAGGCAACACCTTCCCCGGCCTAGCGTACCTGGCGCCCATGAGATAGCAGCACGGCAGGAGTTCGCCGCCGCAGCTGCCATGTCCTGGCCTGCAGCCTCTGCCCCCCCAGGGGCCTTCTGCTTGGCTGGCACCGGGGCAGGGCCCAGCCCGTGTGGGACTCTTGCATTGATTACAGCAGAGAGGGGCGGGGCTGTCCCCACCCACGCAAGGTTTAGCTCAGCAGCAGGGTTATTTTTTAATCACCCATCCCATTTGGGAGGGTGTCTGTGCAGGGAGGGGCCAGAACAGGCCGGCAGGAGGGGCAGGGGGCCCCTTTCAGATGAAATGCAAGGCCGGGAGTTGGCTTCGTGTTGGCACTAAAGAGATGACTGCATCTTTCGCCCAGGCCAGGGGTTACCCTGAGGGCAGGTGCACATGCCGCTGTGGGTCATTACAACCTGGCCAGCCCCGCTGCCGGCAGAGGGGTACTTTTCTACACTTGCTGCCTGACTGCGTGGGTGTGTGAAACAGCGGCTGTGTTCCACCCCAGAGGTGGAAGAGTGATTCTTGCTGGGCCCGGGGGGACAGTGCTTTGGGATGGGAGTCCGAAAGGGGCTGTAAGGTACGGTGTGAGATTCCAGCTGGGGGCACAGACCGCCTGTTGGCAACTGGGAATAGCAGCAGAAGGCTTCAGGGAAACATACCAGAGAGGTTGAGGAAGGGGGGTGTGTCTCTGTTCACAGATCGCTTCACGCCAGCAGGCTGTTGTTGGGAAGGCTGGCCGGAGCTGTGGTCTCTGCAGCTGGCCGGCGTGGCTGCAGGAGGGTGTCGGAGCAAGGCCCGCCTGCCCGGACGGCTGCCAGCATGCCTCCGAAGAGGAGGAGCGGGCAGGCCCGGGGGGGGGAGAGCCCCGCCGCCCCGTGGCCGACTGACAGGCAAACGAAAGGGCCCGGTGGAGCCCAGCGGGGCGGCGGCAGTGGCTGTGGAGAAGAGGAGGAAGGAGGGGGAGGTGACGGAGGCAGGAGGAGCTGGGTGCCTGGGGGAGGCCGTGAGGCAGGCGCGGCTGCGGGCTGCCCCCTCGGTGCAGGAGTTCAAGTACAACAAGAAGCGGGTGCGCCTGGTCTCGCAGGGCCCCGACCTCAAGGAGGACGCCCAGGGCATCGTCTACTGGATGTCTCGAGACCAGAGGGTGCAAGGTACGACCCCTCCCGGGTGGTCCAGTCAAAGGGCTTTGGCCCTAGAGCGGCAGCACCTTCCCGTGTAGACCTGGCTGGGCTCCGTGTCCAGTGTCCTGGCCAAGCAGGATTCCTTTTGGGAAGCCCCCTCGGGAACGCACGGGGCTGGAGCGTGTGATTCAGGCCTGGCCGGCACTGCCGCCTCCTCTTTCCCCAGGCACTGGCTCGCCGTGGGTCTTATTTCTTTGCAATTGGGGGCGTTATCTCCCCCGCTCCGTAGCTCAGCTGCCTCCAGGCCGTGAGCTAGGGGCGGCCTTAAGAAGGAGTTTGCGTCCATGCTAATGGGCATTTCACACACATGGGGAAACTGAGGCACGAGGCCACGCATTTCAGTGCCCGAGACCGCGCAGCCAGATGGTCACGGCGCCAAGGTCTCCTGGTTCCGGGCCTGAGCCGTGGGCCGGGTTGCTCTGCAGCAGCGTGTCCATGCAACGCAATCACATGTTCGCTCTCTCTCTCTCCAGATAACTGGGCTTTCCTGTATGCCCAGCGCCTGGCCCTGAAGCAGAAGCTCCCGCTGCACGTCTGCTTCTGCCTGGTGCCGTCACTTCGGCTTCATGCTGAAAGGCCTGCAGGAGGTGGCCGAGGTAGCGGCGGCTCTGGAAATGCCGGGGGGCGGGGGAGGAAGGGGAGCGCTGGCCCCAGACAGCGATGGGGCAGGCTGGGGGTCTCTGCAGCGTCTCAGCGTGAGCGAAGGGCCCGATCCTGCCAAGAGCCCATGGCGGGGCTTTTCCAAA